TTATCCTACATATGCATATGCATACTTTTATCCTACATATGCATATGCATACTTTTATCCTACATATGCATATGCATACTTTTATCCTACATATGCATATGCATACTTTTATCCTACATATGCATATGCATACTTTTATCCTACATATGCATATGCATACTTTTATCCTACATATGCATATGCATACTTTTATCCTACATATGCATATGCATACTTTTATCAAACATAAGTACATATGTACTTGTATCCTACATATGCATATGCATACTTTTATCCTACATATGCATATGCATACTTATACATCACAGAATTTAATTTGACCCCAATTGGAGAAATAAAGAGTATATCGCCAACTTTTAATTAAAATGGCCGTTCGCATAGAATGTACGAAGATACAAATAATAACGTCCACATAAACATGTGGCTCAGATATACGTTCAAGTGTTAAATTATGATCGCACAGGTGTGTTTACGTGTACACAAGTGCGTGTAGAATGTGTAAATAAACATGTTCGAGTGTAGGGTGCACACGGTTGAAGCGGCATCTCGACATGCGCTATGATTAACACTTCAGCTCACAGGTCACGGAATTTCTCGTATTTTTCCTTTTCGATGTAAACAAAATTCTGAGGGAGGAGATACAAACAGAACAAACACATCAACGTGGAAATGACGGGTTTACGGTAGAAATTAAACATATGCGTCAATATTGGGGGAAATAAATGCGAATGGTAATTGATACTCGATGCGTTATGTTTGGATACCTTTCTGAGGGTATTTAGCTTATTTTACTAGTATTAGTAATTTTACTAATGTGGTTAATATCACTATTTTTAATAATTTAGTTAATTTTCTAGGTTTATTTATTTACTTAATTTTATTGCATTCACTAGTTTTATTAATTTAGTTAATTTTGTTAGATTTAAGAGATTTGCAAATTTAGTTAATTTTGTCAGATTCAACAGATTTCCAAATTTAGTTAATTTCAGAGGTTTTTCTAGTTTTACTAGTTTTACTGAATTGCTTAAGGTTACTAGTTTCACTAGTTTTATTAATTTAGTTAACCTTGTCAGATTCGATAGATTTTCAAATTTAGTTAATTTCAGTGGTTTTTCTAGTTTTACTAATTTTAATAGTTTTACTGAACTACTTAATGTTACTAGTTTCACTAGTTTTATTAATTTAGTTAACCTTGTCAGATTCAATAGATTTTCAAATTTAGTTAATTTCAGTGGTTTTTCTAGTTTAACTAATTTAATTCATTTTACTAATCTTACTAATTTTACTAATTTCATTCATTTTACTAATCTTGCTAATTTTACTAATTTCATTCATTTTACTAATCTTGCTAATTTTACTAATTTCATTCATTTTACTAATCTTGCTAATTTTACTAATTTCATTCATTTTACTAATCTTGCTAATTTTACTAATTTCATTCATTTTACTAATCTTGCTAATTTTACTAATTTCATTCATTTTACTAATCTTGCTAATTTTACTAATTTCATTCATTTTACTAATCTTGCTAATTTTACTAATTTCATTCATTTTACTAATCTTGCTAATTTTACTAATTTCATTCATTTTACTAATCTTGCTAATTTTACTAATTTCATTCATTTTACTAATCTTGCTAATTTTACTAATTTCATTCATTTTACTAATCTTGCTAATTTTACTAATTTCATTCATTTTACTAATCTTGCTAATTTTACTAATTTCATTCATTTTACTAATCTTGCTAATTTTACTAATTTCATTCATTTTACTAATCTTGCTAATTTTACTAATTTCATTCATTTTACTAATCTTGCTAATTTTACTAATTTCATTCATTTTACTAATCTTGCTAATTTTACTAATTTCATTCATTTTACTAATCTTGCTAATTTTACTAATTTCATTCATTTTACTAATCTTGCTAATTTTACTAATTTCATTCATTTTACTAATCTTGCTAGATTTACTAATTTTATTCATTTGACTAATCTTACTAGTTTTACTGACTTATTTAATTTTACTAGTTTCACTAATTTTATTAATTTAGTTCATTTTATTGGCTTTTCTAGTTTAATTAATTTTGTTCATTTTACTAATTTTACTAGTTTCATTGATTTCATTCATTTCACTAATCTCACTAGTTTTACTGATTTACTTAATTTTACTAGTTTCCCCAGTTCCATTATTTTCACTATTTTCTTTTGTTAATTTCATTGCTTCAAAAAGTAAAAAAATATGCAATTGTATAAATAATAGCACAATCAATATTGCAGCTAACATTCACATTTATTCCCCCAAAATAGCTACCTCTTCAATTCGATTACACAATTTTTTTTTCCAAAAATACTTGCAATTTATTACAACCAATTGTCGCACTCATACTGTGGCTCAAAAGCATTAATTATTTAACACATTGAAACGCGTGAAAGGAAATTAACGCACCTCTTATAAAATATTTCGATCAATGTGTTCGCTTCCTGTAAATAGATCTTTGTGATCTTATTCCTCTTTTTCAGACAGTGATTTCCAAAATGTTATACTTTCAAAAATTTCCCATTAACAACAATTTTTTTATTCAACTAAATTCTTATAATCAATTTTTAATTTAACTAAAACGATAGTTAAATAATTTGAAATAAACTGCATACGATAAAATAAATGCAAAGTTGCATTTGAAATAAATACAATATCCATGTTATATTGTCCATTGTATCAAAATGAACGAAAGTACATATACAAAAATTACTACGTAGTCATTTTTTAGAACGTAGGTACACGAAAAATATTCACGATGGACGATGTAATGTGGATCCACAAATTTTTATTATTAATTTATTTAAAGGACAAAAAAAGTTCAAGTAAGCATTTTGGGAATTGTTTGCCTGAAACTCTGTACATTTTCCTAGAAACGAGACTTTATCAACGTTGATCGTTCCACTGATTGTACAAAGGGTCTCAATATACCAATTAATACGCGTACAACGTAAGGATTCTGACCAAACTTTAGAATATACGTACTTCTGTACTGAGTATTATACACCAGGGTCTCGGTCTGATTCTAACGGCCTGTAGAGAACGTGCATAGTCTAACGAGTATTTGTTGTTAGAGAATTATACATTGTTGAGAAGAATTGAATGATAAATCTGTTACGTAGGTAAATAGTGAGAATGTGAGAGATGATTTTTATGTACGAGCCTCTTTTTCCAATCATTTCAATTAAAAATATTAACACGTTGATAATATTTCTTTTGTCATTCTTTGCTCTGAATGACCCACTTTTACGTTTCCTAATTATTTAATCGCATCGATAACCGATGTGGCGAGAAACGTGTTAATAATTTATTGAAACATTAATACAGTGTTCTCGGGCTGGTGGTGCAATTCTAAAAATAATTTTACGTATCTTATCGCTTAAAAACCGTATGAAGTCGATTTTTCTATCAAAATATCCTAATTTTTGTTTCAGAAAAGTTTTTGAATTGTATCACCATTTTTGCAATATTTTATATTATTTAATCTTCTATTATTTAAAATCCAATCTGTAATATATATGTTGAAAGTACAATACAATACAAAGTACAATATTACTTATTTCGTTCTTTGAAAATATTTTATAAAACCGATACAACCTGTGAAATAATCTATTTTTAATTTTGTGAAATAATAATTAAAATAATATATTTTAATTAAATAATTTAATAGTATATTTGAATTATTTCCTAAGTAGGTAACGAGGACATTATCCTGTAAATAGTATCAATCGTATTATTAAACTACCATTTCCGTATCATAATTAATAAAACGTTTGTTTAAATAAAATTAAATCCCATAAAGTTATCTTAGATATAAGCTTATCATTAGTAAAATACTTGTTTCTATATCGTCGAATATTGTTTGAGAAATTGTAAAAACAATATTTGAGTAACGTTTAAGAAATTTGTATTTTAAAACTCGCGCGTTTGGGAACGATTGAACAAGAGGCTTGCACAATATGGCGGAATGTAAATGTTCCTCGCGCATGCGCACTAGTCACGCGTTCGCGCGCCATAAGGTTTAATCGTTTTTTACGAGGGATCTCGTCGGAACGCGGCGGATTTTACAGATTTTATGGATGTTACGTGATTTGCTCGAAAGGAGTCGCTTAGCAGGTAATATTCGTATTTCTATTGAAAGTAGCTGCTGTTTTGTGTCAAAAAACAGAGAGAGATTTATCAATTTTCGAATACGTGATTCGATATATTGCAATGACCAACTTGATAGATTGCTCTATGTATTACGATGTATTATTTCTTCTGGTGCATTTGTAACGGATAAATGATTAAAAAGATATCTTGAAACGAGTATTCTGTCGTTTTATTATAGACACATCGCATGGTACATAAATTGGAGTGATTGTATAGTGGACTGACTTACCGATTGATGTCTTCTTTGACGCAGGATGGCAGAACAGTACAGGTAAGTGATGACTTTTATTGGACACACTTTTGTAGACACACATTATTACAATTTAACACTAAATTAACTGGTTATAAAAAACGACACTTGCAATGGTTCTCCTACGACTTCAGATTCGAATCTGCCAAACCGTTTAACGTTGCGCACGCATTATGGCGGCGTCCAATGACGTGCGATCCTGCGAGCCAATAAGACGCACGCAAAATTGGCGCGCTCAGTTACGTTCTTTAAAATGTGTTACACATTTATAATTTTAAAAGAATGCTCATAATTTTCTTTAGCAGATATTTAATTTGCCTATCGTTGTTACAATAGATTCCTACATTATCTGCATAGCAATTCAAATTTAGAATTAAATTTAAAATCAAATAACTAAATACAAATATAAATAACTAAATATATCAAAGAACTTTAATATTCTTAGCAATATAATTTCAAATAATTTTAAATAACTAAATAAAATTTATTTAAATATAAAAAAAAGAGGCTATTATTATAGAATAGAAAATGAAAGGAAATGGGAAGGTATATAAATATAGGATATGATCATACTCGTTTATTAATTTAATTTTTCCAATTATCACGAGAGCTAAATTATTGTCGACGTTATAAAATCGACACACGTTACAAAAAAAATCTACAGATTGCGAGAAAGTAATCATAACAATGCTAACTGTGTGTACTATAGATCTGTACATTTATTTCCGTTCATAATTTTCAAAATGATAATCATAATTGATGACAAACCATAATAACAGGTATCGATGATATGATTATATCCAAATGACAATTGGTAATCTCCTATCTAATATTTTACAGTTCCTTAATAATTTATTAGAAATCATCAACGGGCCTATAACAACTTGCGTGTTCAATTACACCGCAGGAACTCTCAACTTGACTGCAAAAGGAGAACGGGCTGCCTGATCGTTTTGTATCACGATTGTTCTTCACTCTCTCCTTGTACAGTCATGGTTCAACAAGCCGCAAAATAGAAGCGAAATATTAAACAATGTTATATTTGCGCATAGAATATCAATACTTAGATACTAAGCATCAGAATGCGCAATTAACGTGAATATCATATAATACAAAACCCTTGTCCAATGAGCTCTATTTTGTCAAACCATTAATGAAATTTACAAATCAACTCAATAATCATTTGACGAGATATACGCATATCAACTATATCCTTAGAAGCGATTTAAAGTACACTGGCGAGCATGGTAGACTTCCCCAGAAAACATAAGAGGTCCCACTTTTGGTTCATAAATTTTCAAATTTTAGATCTCAACAGTTTGTGAAGTTGAAACTCAAAAATTTGGAAATTTAATTTTCAGTTTACACATTTGATCCCCCAAAATTAAAGATAGATGAGTGTTGCTCCCTCTAACCCCTATTTAAAAGAAAGCCTACATTGCAACCAACTGTACATTCTTTAAACACTATTGCAAACTAATTTCACGTGCAGAGCTGTACACCACAACAAAACATATAACGGTGAACGGGAAGACTACGCAATTGCTCATATATTGTAATTGATCCAATCCGACCCGTACTGACGTTACTCGATGAAAAAGCTCGTTGATCGATTCTAAGTAATGGCTAAGAAACATAGAAAAAGATGAATCACACAGGACACCAAGAATAGTAAACACGTACGATGGAGATGCGAATAGGAAGACTAATAACGAACTAAATAATTTCCTCGTTACGGGTGTCGTTTCTTTATAAATTCACATACGTTTCCTAATTTCCTCGCTTACATATATGCGTGTTAAAGCATACACGATAATGGGACGAACACGCACAGGCGCACACGCACTTACACAAATATCATTCTTCTACGCTGAAAGAAAGTTTCTGTGATGTTTCGACGCGAGAATAATTTAAAATAGTAGGCAAGCACGTAATCAATGACGTTATACAGACGGTATTGAACAAGGAATCACCCTATGGTGTTAGAAATTCAATTTATACGTGAGAACGATTACTCGTATTCATGTAAATCTAAAACACCATGCCGTGTTTAACATTAATAAGTAAACGCTAACCGATCCTTCTATATATACATGTACACCTTAATTATGTATACAATAGAACGACCCTTCCAAGAGTCACACCTTTTGTTTTACGAAAATGAAACTCGGACGATTTCGAATAATACTTAAAAGTAAGTACACCAAACGATTTGTGAACTTACAAAATTACCACGACTTCGAACCAGTTAATGACCGATCTTTTTTTCCCATGATGTTCCATAATTGCTACGAGGAATGAGAACATAGTAAAGAGATAAACAGTGACAATTCCCCAATGGAGTTTGATCGTCTGCACCATTTTGTTTCCACTCACACTTCGCATCATGTGTATCACGACAATTATATTACAGGACGCTCCTTTTGTTACGCACACATCCTCTTAGTTTAATTATGGAATTTGAATAATTCGTGGCTGAATAAATCGAAACTGCTCGTCGATATCGAACCGAATCGAGCGGTGATATTGTTCCTCGAACAGACACGAAATCACTATACGTTAATGTTTAAATATACGTTCGGTGAGCGGACTTTCTGGTAGCGAAGTCCACGACACTCTTTTTCCGGCAAAGAGAACAGAGAAATTTTGTGTTTTCAAGTTTGAAGTTCCGTAATGGTCGTACACGACTTTGTCCTACAAAACTCATACGTGGGGATTCGTCGAGGTACTATTTTGTAAGATGAAAAAAGTTCGAATTTCAACGTCACTTCATACTTTACACTTCTTGCAAGATTTCGGGCAACATCACGAAGCGTACATTCTGTTTATTTCGTGTTGGTAACGTTCTTGTACCGCTTTTCTCTTCAACTTGAACGCGGCTGTCACTAGTCCCATGTCCGGTGACCATTGTTCCGCACACAGTTTCACTGCACCGGGTATCTCGAATCTTTCCAGCTTGCCTAGATAATAAATTACAAACTCAAACCTCGCACAATGATATTCCACAGAAATTCTATGATACTTACATTTTTTGGCTTGCTCAATCAGTTCCTGTAATACCATCTTCTCCACTTCAGGATTACAACAAAGTTCCTCGATGGTTTTTCCCTTGTATCCAAGATTAGAGGCGATCTCTTCCAGATAATAAGTATTGGGTACCACTAATGCCACTGTGTGAGTCTTGTGTGAGTCTCCGTAAACACAAATGTTTTCTACGACAGGACAGGTCTTCAACTCTGCTTCAACTTTGCCCAGGGATACATATTCTCCAAGTTGTAATTTCACTAAATCCTTCTTTCGGTCTGTAAAATACATTTCAGTTCATTAGAAGAAAGTAATTAACCAAATATATAAAGTTACTGTTTGAACTCCAACTGAGTATTCTAACTCATATATTGAACCATACCAATAATCTTTATGGAACCATCAGAATGGAATTCTCCAATATCCCCAGTTCTGAACCACTGCTTCCCATCTTCTTGGAAGAAGTCCTCTTTCGTTTTATCTGGTAGCTTGTAATAACCAGCCGAAACATTTGCACCGCCAATAACGATCTCTCCTCTGGGATGTGGTGTATCTGTGACTCTGTAACCAGCTTCTTCCCAATTTTCTAAGCGGATGTCGCAAACCGTAGTCGGTGCTCCAACCCTTCCTGTACTTCTGTCGTGCACTAGAAGATAAAATAAACCATAGAATTAAATTCATTCAGTAAAATAGGTCGTTGTGCAATACATACCATCCATAACAGTTGCGCATGAAGTTGTTTCTGTGAGACCATATCCTTGTGTAACAGTGACACAAAGACAGATCTTAACCTGGGTGTGCGTATCTGGGGTTAGAGGCGCACCACCGCAAAGTATAAGCCTAACTTTTCCACCAAGGACTTGTCTTGCAGCTCCAAAGATGTATTTATCAAAGAAAGGTGTATCATAACCTCGTTTGGCCCATTTCAGTTTGTACTGATAAGCAAAATGGAAGATCGCTTGCCGGAAAGCACCTGACTTCTTTACCTTCTCGTTTATGCCTTTGGAGATGCGGTCAAGAATGAGCTAAAATATGCATAAGCCATTATAGATTTTATTTATAGTACACTGCAAAGACTAATTATGAAACTTACTGGTACTGCGGTTAAACAAGTTGGATGCAACACTGAGGCATCACCCTTGGACCCTCTCTGAATTTTGCTACTAGAATCAATCATTGTAAGAGGTGAACTGTATCCAATAGGTACGCCAGTCAGTAGACACACACTCTCAGCAAGAAGTTCAAACACATGGGCCAGAGGTAAAAATCCAAGGAAAACATCATCTGATCTAATTTCCACAGCATCACAGAATGCCTTCATTGTTGCTATGATGTTTGTATGAGACAAAAGTACACCCTTTGGCACTCCAGTTGAACCAGATGTATACATTATAATTGCGGTGTCATTGGCCTGTGGTGGGGACATTGGTGCATTTGATTCATTACCTTTCTTGATTACTTCAGAATATGATATGAGCCTCACACCATCCTAAAATTAACCAGCAATATTTACAAATTAAAATATATACTGCGATAGTCAATGTTAACCCTAACATTACCCAAACTAAAAACTAATTAGTGAAACTTTCAGTAGTTCCATTGTGGCAGTAATATGTTAATTCAATCATTATGCAGAATTCATATTCAAATTCTACTGTTATGAATAAAGAATAGAGTGTAACAGGGTATAAGTAGTACATCAATGAACAATTGGAACTAAGCATCGTTATTTTGCATTTACATACTACTCTGACTCACAAATTCCAATAAATCCTCATTCTTTACTGTCGACGATTAAAATTGTACAAATAAGAGATGGGATTTATTCAAACTTTTTTGGACATGGTATTTTTTGGAAGCCAATGACGTACGAATATAAATTGAAATGTCCATGTATGTTAATGTCGAAATACTGACCTTGAAACCGGTAGTATTGGTCGGTTTCAACTGATCTTCCATGTAAATGATCGTCTTAATTTCTGGCACCTTGTCGAGGAGTCGTTTGAACTTTGGCAACAAGTCGTGACTGGTAATCACTGTATCGACTTCGGTCTCATTGATACCATGCGCGATAGCATCATCGCCTAACGTCGCATAAATGGTTACCACGGTCAAATTTTGCTTGAAACAACCATAAGCTGCTATCATCCATTCTGCTCTGGTCTCAGCAAAGATCACAATGTTCTTGCGAGTCGTGAGACCAAGTTCCCTCAAGCCACGACTAAAGGAAGTCATCAGCCTATTAACTTCCGTGTAAGACTTCCATTTGTAATCTCCCATTTTGTACTACAAATGAAATGGTAATACATGTTATTCCTTTATTACATAAATTATGTAATAGATTACATGGTGTGGTCTCAGCTTTGGAATTTGGCACCTGTTGGACTTCAGAGTTTGGGAACTTTGGAACTCTGGAATTTCAGAATGTTGGGACCTTAGAAAGTTACAAGTGGATCACTAGTTTTCGTTTGACTTTTATGTCAAAATAAATAGATCATAGCTAAAAAATGTCTACGCACTAAATGCAATATGCATAGAAGTTATAATTTCTTTTTTACAAGAACCCTTAAGTTGTACAATAAAGCTTTTCCTATGTAATCTTGTTTTTGACAGAGATAACTATCAGTTCACTCATTCCAGGAAGTAATTAGTTATCTTAGATTTAAAATATGATTACCACTGGAATAGAACATGAATGATCACAAATTAATGAAGGCAACTTTGAATTAAGTTGTCAACGTAAAGGTTAATATTAAGAAATCTTATTTCATAATAAGCTCTCCCACACTTATTATTTAAAGAATTAGCATGTTCAAGATTTTCACTTGTCATGACATTAATTACTGGTTTGTTATATAAACTCGTTCATAATGAATGGATGTTCTTACGTCAAAGGTGTACTAATCATCCGCATAGGTGGTATACTGATGCACTAAACGTGTAATATCATTAGACAACAAAAAATGTATTTTAATATACTATGTGACTGTAACTTACAGTTAAGTTGAAGCTACAGTTAAAGACTGTAATATTTCATGTTTTGAGCCAAATATACTTTGCAAAAGTATGTATACATTAAAACTCTTTACGTTCCTTGTCAGTTCACAATTTGAACTCATGTATTATTGTAGGTAGATTAATTTCAGATTAGTATGATTGATGTTATCCACAAAAGCTTACTTAAGACTCAATTTCAAAGCTCAGAGACTCAAACATTCTACTTTATAAGCACTATCTAAATTTCAACGCTGTGTTAAACATCACTGCTTCGCAGGTTCATGATAACATGATATGTCAATACAAAAGAGTTTATTAAGATTTAAAGAGCGCTTTCAGGAGACTTTGTTGTAATTCACAGCTAACTTGTTTTTTCAAACTTGCTAGTCTGAATTGGTGTTTATGTACAGAGTAAGGTAAACGCTCACAAAGCGTTCAAGTACCTTCTTAAATATTCTACCGTTAGGCTGAAGTTCATCCTCCTCCGCGAGTATCTGCCTGGTGCCAAGGCATTTTTTCTCCCTGTGCATGTTCACGACCCAAGTCATCATTTTCTCGAGCGTGTCGACCTTTTCGCGCTCGAGCATAACATGCATCGGTCCTGGGGGGTCAACGCTCCTGTAAGTGATCCTTTGCTCGTCCCTCGCGATTGGCCGTGCCTTGATTCTCCTGGAGGCCTTCTTCTTTTCCCAGGGCCGTTGCAGAATGAGATAGACCGGGAACGTCAGCAGATCGTACACATAGGAAAGCGCCTTGATCGCGTGGATCGCGCCGCTAATCCAGAAGCCTTCCATTTCCCTGCAAAGGAGGAATGAGGTTTACCAACGAATCTTATTTCTCGGCTGAGATTGTTAGGATCCTTGAGGCTGGGTGCAAAGGCTTCCGGCCGTAAGCCGTTGACTTCCGGTCGAAAAAGGTTTCATTGCAAGGAAATATAGCATTAGTGATGCGCGGAGGCGGTAATACTGATTTTTATAAGTATCATTTTTGGTAATGCTATGATACTATTAGGTACAGTGTACAGTATTAGTTACATAGATTATTATAATAGTAAATGGCTCTTATATATTAAATTTGAAGTAATAATATTAGTATTAATAATTCTTACTGTTATTAGTGTTAATATTCTTACTATTATAGTGTTAATATTAATATTACTAATATTGTTATAATAAAAAATACTTATATAGAAATATTAATATAATATATTAACTGTAATATGAAAATACTAGCAGTATAAGCATAATACAAATATACTAAAAAAATAGTATTAACACTAATAAAAGAGATTTAAACTACAATAAAGTTTGCTTTGTGAATATTCACACTTTGTGAATATTTGATCATAAACAAACGCAACAAAAAAGGATTGAAATATCAATGCTTACAAAATGTTATCTTCTGGTTTGGAAACCCCAGCCAGAAGAAAACTGGTTTAATCAAAAAGAAAAGGGTAAAAGCTATCTCGAATAAACACACAGTAATCCTCAACTGATAAAATTCAATAAATAATGTACACTGTCCATTATACGCTTTCAAAATCATCGATTTTCTGTATGAATATTCCAAGAAAACAGAAAATCATGTTTCCGTATAATTGAAACTGCCACAAGCAATTTCATCCCACCAATTACATTACATAACAAATTTTCCACACAGTTGAGGATTAACAAGCATCGTCAGCCTATTGATCAAGGCACCGACGATACTTCCTGCAACTCGATCAGATCTATTAACATTGTTACGTAATCGTAATAAATGAAAGCGTATAAAGTTTTTCAAAATTCTCTGCTCGCATACTTTCTTTGTTACTTGCAAGGACGAAGATTTCGCATGCAGCGTGCAAAAATAATGCGAGTTGAGAAAATTCGAAGGCCACTGACAGAATTTTTGGCGGGATCTTCTTCAGTGCGCATTGTCTCGATACTGAATGAAGCACATGCGAACGCTGATCCGGTACGTGCGAAAGGAATGCATAAAGACAGATAAAAAGAGATATACATGTAAAGTACTGAATATTTTTAGTGTATTTTACTGGCGGAGTATACTAGGTGGTAAAATTATTTTTACAGCACGAATATGCAAGTACTCTCACTATATTGCCGGAAGTTCTTGAAATCGGCGATATAGTGAGAGGTTTTTTTGTGTAAACTGACCATTTGCAAATTTTGAAATTTTGTAACAGTTAGATCTTATGATTTATGATAAATACGTAAATTTGTTAGTAAATCTGAGAATTTGTAAATTTTTTAATTAATAAGACACAGAACTTGTGATACTGAAAATTTGAGAATTTCTCAATTAATAAATTAAAAAAATTTTGATATTAAAAATATGTAAATTTGTTATATTAAAAATCTGTAAATTTCTCAAGCCCCAAATCACAAAATTTGTGATATTAAAAATGTAAAAATTTCTCAATCAGTAAATCTAAAAATTTGTGATATTAAAAATCTATAAATTTCTCAACCCCCAAATCACAAAACTTGTGATACTAAAATTGTGAAAATTTTTTAATCAGTAAATCTAGAAAATTGTGATATTAAAAATCTATAAATTTCTCAAGCCCCAAATCACAAAATTTGTGATATTAAAAATGTAAAAATTTCTCAATCAGTAAATCTAGAAATTTGTGATATTAAAAATCTGTAAATTTATCAACCCCAAATCACAAAATTTTTGATACTGAAAATATACAAATTTCTCAATCAGTAAATCTAAAAATTTGTAATATTAAAAATGTGTAAATTTCTCAATTCCAAATCACAGAATTTGTGATACTAAAAATTTCCCAATTCCAAAATCTGCAAATCTCTAATAATAATTTGTAAACTTGAAAGTTCAAAGATTTACCAGTACTAACTTACAGATCTGAAAGTTTGAAGATTATAGTATACTCCACCAACTCTCCCAGTCTAACCTACATAACTCTACTTACGTCCCTAAGTATACTAAAGTTTTCCTAGTAGCATAAATATACTCTACGGGGTAAATTACCAGCAAAACGTAGACGTATTATCATTTCGTTGACCTCGAGACAGACAATATGTTTTCTTCATGCCACGCGACACCCTATATATAGCCGCGTCTCATATATGCACAAATACAGCGAAACGCGTGGCGTGACTGCGGTCCGGAGAGGACAAGATTCGAATATCTCCACGGACTTTGAACGTGGTTTGTTCGTGACAGACGTAATTCCCTTGAATAAATGCGTTACGATCTTTGCATTATCAACAATTTCGAATAAGATCCCTTGCACGGAATAAGGAAAGCGTGCAGTCACATTTCTTATCGCGTCGCGACGCCTAGACACTTGATAAGCTCGACTAGTTACACGGTTCGCTAATGTGGATAACCCTGTCACACATTTGACATTCGATAAGAAATGTACAATTGACTTTTCCCACCAAAGTAAATATGGTAATTTTAAAAACGTGTTTATCTTTCGTATACTAAAAATACGACACTGATAACAAAACGTATCTTCAAAGAACTTTCATTTCGGAAAATGAAACTTTATCCCCTTGCGATGATTGTCAATCATGTGTCAGGTTATGCAATGCATTTATCGTTCATAATTATAGGCTTATGTCATATGACGAATTATGGTTTTATACGTGTTTTTGTATAGGGAATTATTTAGTCAATTTCTGTAAAGTTCATTATATGGCCAATTATAGATATGTTTGTGTATTTTGAATTAGAGAATGATCGTTATATGGACAATTAGAGAATATGTTTGCGTATTGTGAATTACAGAATGATCGTTATATGGCCAAGTATGGAATTTGTTTGCATATTGTCAATTACAGAATGTTCATTATATGGTCAATTATAGAATATGTTTGCATGTCGTGAATTACAGAATGATCATTATATGGCCAATTATAGAATATGTTTGCATATCGTGAATTACAGAATGATCGTTATATGGCCAATTATAGAATATGTTTGCATATTGTGAATTACAGTATGATCGTTATATGGCCAATTATAAAATATGTTTGCATATTGTGAATTAGAGAATGATCATTATATGGCCAATTATAGAATATGTTTGCTTATTGTGAATTACAGAATGATCATTATATGGCCAATTATAGAATTTGTTTGCACATGTTGATGTACAGAATAATCATTATGTGGGCAATTACAGAATATTCTATGTAATTAGAAAATAAAATAAAGTTCACTATATAGCCAATTACAGAATTTGTTTGCACATGTTGATGTACAGAATAATCATTATGTGGACAATTACAGAATATTCTATGTAAATTAGAAAATAAAATAAAGTTCAATATATGGCCAATCATAAAATATGTTTGCATGTTGTGAATTACAGAATGATCACTATATGGCCAATTTCAGAATTTACCTATATGAATCAAAATAAAATAAAGTTCACTATATGGCCAATCATGGAATGTTTGCATATTGTAAATTACATAATGATCATTATATGGCCATTTTCAGAATTTCCCTATATGAATTATAAAATAAAATAAAGTTCACTCTATGGTCAATCATAAAATATGTTTGTATATTGTGAGTTACAGAATGATCACTATATGGCCAATTTCAGAATTTCCCTATATGAATCAAAATAAAATTAAGCTCACTGTATGGCCAATCATGGAATGTCTGTATATAGTAAACTACAAAATAATTATTACGTGACCAATTACAGAATGTCCCTGTGTGAGTTATAAAATAAAATAAAGTTCACTATATACAAACCAGAATATATTACTATATAACAAATGATAGAATAATATACTAGTACCTGGTAAATTATAAAATACATTTATTGTTATGACTAATTATAGAATAATTACAAGAACAACATAACAATATACCATATGGCAAATTATAGAATATCTCACCATATGGCCAAATACGAAATATGTTACCATATGGCTAATAACAGAATACCTTAGAATATACATAACAGACTACTTCACTCTATGATAAATTACAGAACAATATATCAGATTATACATTGAAGATAATGTTACAAAATAATAAAATAAGTGTTTGACCTTTACCTTAATAATTCACTGTGTTCGCATAAATAAAACATGCTAGCAAAAAGAAAAGAGAAATATGAGAATTATGCAAAGTTGCACGAGCAGGCAATGTGCACACATGCTTACGTTAAAAATATCAGCAAGGAGCGAAAAAGAAGGCAGATTAGCGAGTTAAATTTGTCAACTAGAAATGTTACTAGGACTCACTGTTTATCCTCCACGATCATGGTGGCTATATCCGGTCACCGTTTATTTCCAAAAGATACTGCTACTTTAACAGTAGTCTCTTTGATGCAGATTAACGACACTGCAAGAAAAACTATTGGCAAAATCGATGACGGTTAAAGCGAAAATTTTTCTCGAGATGCATGCTTGGTCCAGGTTTTATTATTACACATCCTAGAATAAAATCGATATCGTTCTCGACGCGAATGTGTAGTTTTCGTTGTAATGAAATTGTTTCCAGTGACCTTGGATCGTTCAACGATCACTGATATCGATTTCTAAACAAAGCATTCGAATGTCAAACAAGTAGGAACAATGAGTGTCATTCGAAGGAAATTGTACACTTGACACTAAACGCTATCAGATAGGTGCTAATGTGAAATCGATTATTTGCACGTTCTGGGGAAGTTGTGAGTGAGCTGATAATCGAAGTGTCTCGAGAATTTTGGGATTCTTAGATTTGGAGTCTGAAATTAGAAACATTGGGATTTTTAAATTTGTATATTTGGAATTGGAAATTTTGGAATTTTGGAATTTTTG